GTACCTGGCTACATTTCTTATCATATTTCTTTTCTCTTGTCTGTTTTACAGCTCATTTAACTGATTTTTTTTTTCCTATTTTTCACAATCAGATGTAATTCTGAGTACTTAAGTAGTTTTTGCATTGAGTAAAAAAGAAAATCCAAACAATTTCCTGTCACAGAGATTTTTTCTTTAACTCAGAAATTGATATATGAGTTAAAGTAAGCAAGTTTGGAAGTACGAGATTCCCTCTGGAGATCCTTATTTCAAAATTTTTCTGACTATCACTGATCCAGTGGAATTTGGAATTGAAGTTTTCAATTTCTTTAATATCAGCATTTAAATGAAAGTGGTGCAGGAATGAGAGAACCTTTGCAAAATGTAATTTTTATCCAATTTCAAGGAGAACATCTTGCTTTGCCGCAGATGAGATTTAGTGCTAATTGATTATTGCTTTAGCAGAAAAGCTATTTAGAGTTGTTCCAAGATACAAAGCGAACACTACAGCACAAAATGACATTGAGCTATACTGTGTTTTCGTTCGTCTTGCTGAAATTAGATATGGCCAGAAGGAGTGATACAGCTTCAGTGAATCTTATGCTAATGCTTTCCCAGAAAATGTTTTCTTTTCTCCCTAAATTATTGATTGAGCTATTAGAGATCTGAAATAAAACTTTAATTAGTTGTTAGAGGCTTTACAAAACATGACCTGCTGGAATGAATGTAGTTGAAAGGGAGCCATCTGACTACAGAAATTGCAGCCAGCAAAACAGGCCACTTCTATGGGCAGAAAGTTAACATTTGTTGCAGATTTCTAGTTCTTTGGGGAAAGTGATTGCTAGTCAGAAGCTGATGGATGGTTTTTAATTGTCTGTGGTATGAAGTGTCTTGAATCACATGTATCATCCTTCTGAATTTGTAAATTTATATTGGAATATCCTTAGCTCTGTGGGCTAAAATTCATCAGTCTGAAGGTATGTATTGTGCAAAACAGTACCCATTGTTTTCTGCTATTGAGATGTTTATTTTTGGATGCTCTCTGCTTTGCATTCTATGGTTTTATGCCTGAGATAAAGAGAAGAAAGTGGGCTAGAATTTTGAAAGCAACAGAAGGAGCTTATATGCCTGCCTGTCACTAAGAACCGTTCCTGTAATATCCTTAAAATAGATTAAAAAAAAATCATTTTCTGTTTCATGTGTATTCAAATGACAACGAAGTGCAATAATTCATGATCTGTCTTCCTGACTGTCTACCTAGAAATATCTCTCCGCCCGACTCGATTTAAGTTTCTCATAGTTGTACTGCGTGCACCCGTTTCAGACTGTAGCATTGTTCTGGTGATTTCATTTCAGGATAAAAGCTTGGATTTAATTGAATATGTTATCTGTGTAATTGTTTCAGGAAAAGTGACTTTCAGCAGATGGGAAAATAATACTGTTAGCAATTATCATGATTTTATTGTAGAATTTACAAAGTTTAGGAAGGTTTATCAAGTCAGATATGATGTCATAGTCAAAATATCCACCACTTCTTTTTACTGTCATTGGGATTTAATCTTTTCCCATGGAGAACACAGATTCAAAGAACCTCAAGTGAAAAATCAAGAGCACAAATTCCCGTGTAACAATAACAATAAACTCTGTGGTGAGGCAGGGTTTATGTGACATTTAACAAAGGGGGATAAGAGCTGCTCTTCTTCGGACAGATGAAGGGTGACACAGATAAGAATAGAGCAATCTTCGCAACGATGCTCTGATCTTCTGCTTTTGCCCCCAGTGAGGTTCAGGCTGGTTGATGAAATACAGAGCACCAGCAAACAACAAGGGCAGATGACAGTGGTAAAGAGAAAATAAAGCTGGGCAAAAGCCATGTTGAATGAATTAGGAGGACTCGGGGAAGAAAGAAGAGGAAACGGGCTAAGGTGCTATTGGAGCATGTGAAAAAATCAGAATGCCACAGCAGTGGGGCAGGCTGAATAGCAGGCTTTATAGTTCACAGATTTATTTTTCTTTTTAATTTGGCTTACTTTCAAATTGGAACAAATCCATGTTTCTTTCTTTCTTTCTTTTTTCTTAAATAAAAATTTCTTCAGAAAAAAAAAAAAAATTCCAGGAAAATGTTTTGGAAACAGTGACATACTGTGTTTCCAAAACCACAAATTTCCCCCTGACCCTGCAGCTGCTAAATGGAACTGGCACTCTTGGAGCAGCTCTGTGGAAAGGCAAGGTTTGCAGCTCATCTTCATGCTTTCTCCTTTTGGGTCAGCCACTATGGGCAGGAGACTAATAATAGGTTTAAACTGAGCTACCAGATCCTTTGGATTTATGTTAAAAGATACAGTTTTTTTTAATATGTATTTTTATATATGCTAAAATTGCTCTTTTTGTAAATGTTGGCATTAACTCACAAACATATACGCTATATAACTCCGTATTTTTACATTTATCTATTCTGTGCAAGACTGTGTAGATGGTTCTGAATTTGTCTGTAAAAGATTTGTACTTTTTCACGTTTTCCCTGCATAGAAATCCTAAACATAACAACAGCTGAATTGCTTTTGTTATTTTGGTTATCATTATCCCTATTAAAGGATATCCATAGGTCACCAAACATTTTGCAATCAAAAGACTGAGAAAATGCAATTAGCTTACAGTCTGCAAACTCTCATATTTCTTGTGGGTGTTTTTTTTATGAGTTACCTGGGAGATGTCAGGGGGCCCAGGATAATAATGGTTATTTTTTTTTCTAACGCTCCGTAAATCCTATTTTGCAAATTTCTGCAAGCATTTTCTTTCCCTGAAAAACTGGCATCTACAAGTGAGTATTCAATCGTACACTTAAGATCCAAATATAGAAACAGTCTTATGCTTTCTTATTTATTTATTTGTGTGTCTGTGGCATAGCAACTAAGCAGCACTGCTTGATTTAAGAAAATGTAAGTGTTTAATAACCACACATTTATGATCTATTTGTAAATGCAAAACATAAAATACAATTCCAAAACCTTCCAAAAACAACAACCCAACAAAAAAACCCACCTAGTTTAAAAGGACAAATACATTACAGTCTTCTGGTGGGTAACAATGCACCACAGAATCATAGAACCACAAGGTTGGAAAGGATCTACAAGATCATCTAGTCCACCCATCCTTCTATCACCATTACTACCCACCAAAAGCATGAAGAACTGGAGTCAGTTATTTACAATATATCATTCCCCACTTTAACAGTGAAAGAAATAGAGAAGAAATAGACAGTGAAATATATGAAAGAAGAGGGTAAAACAGAAATTATAGAAAATGTAGAAGGCCTGGGTTTGTGGCTAGGTATATATAGGACTCTTAGAAATAATGGCAGATGTATCTTTTATTAAAAGTTTTTGTGTGGCTTTCTGTCTGAAAAGGAATTTAATGTCTTTTACTTCAGCTAGCAAAACTCTTGTTGCAAAGGAAATTTGTGGTTTTAGTTGATGAGTGTTTCAGAAATGCTTGTGAGTACTTTCACCTTGTGTGTTGTTCACTCGCTTTGTTATTTTGAATTCTGAACAGTTATGCTTACAACACAAATTGATATATTTAGGAGAGTTTCTCCCTTTTTTTTCCCCCATTTCCTATGAATAATAGGGTTCTTTACTAGTATTTCATTGATTAGATTATGTAACTGAAACATTGCATATCAGTTTTTTGAGCAACAGCTGTAATATAAACTCTTGATAATGACTGAACAATGTCTTTGCTGGCATTTGAGGCCCAAATGCAAATGAAAGGTGGTTCTCTTCCCTCTCTGAGATTGCCTTAAGCATTTTTGTAATTAAACTACTAAGAAATGAACTCCAAATTAATGTATTTTGGAATTTACAAAATCTTTGAAGGTACAACTGGACAACACTTAAGCTTCAATTTAGATATTTGTGGATGTCCTTCTGTTCAGAGAACATAGTTTAATAAAAATTCTATAGATTTTTACACATTATTTTAGATTTCTAAGTTGACCAACAACAATATCACATGTAAGTTTTTACTCTCTCATTCTGAAAGTTTTGTAAAGATGTAAAGCATAAGCACTCTTGTGTATGTGTATACATACAAGACAAATATATACTGACAGTTTTAATGTAGATTAGCTTTCAGGTTTTGATTCTATTTTAACATGTTGTAATCAACTCTTTAAAATTGTTGAGTCCTCCAAAAACTTCTATAACTCATTCTGCTCTGCATTCTGAAACTTTTTACATTTTCAACAGTTGGCCTTTTGCTATTTTTGCTTATCTATGAAAACTGAGACGTAGAACTGAACAGTTAATCTTGCATAAATATTTAAGGATAATGAAACTGGCATGAAATTTGATACTTTTCTTAATTTAAAGAAAAACATTTGGTGAAACCTTGGTTATATTAATTATGAATAGCTTGCAGTGTTCCCATTTTTTAAGGTGTCAGTTTGCAGTTCCATTGTAATATAATCTTTACCAAACGCTGTACAATCTGTTCCAAGGCCATGGAGATAAAAGAAAAAAAAAAAAGGAAAAAATGTGCATGCAATAAACAACTAATACAAATATGTAAGGGAGGATATTTTTAGTTTTAAATGCATGCTGTTGTATTTGAAAATATTTAAAAACAAAATTTTAAAATATAAACGTATATTAAGATTCTGTTACATTAAACAGAAATCTAGTCCAAGGCCTTCCTTTCAATTATTGCCCTTCCTGTGGTTTCACCCACTTGTTCTCACACATCTTCTCATGGTGCTCATGGTAAAAAGTTAGATTTTATGAAGATGTGTTCTGGGAATTCTAGCTGGGCTGTTTTACCCTAGTATCCCCAGATGCTGTGTAACCATTGAAAGGATACTGACAACAAAAGCTGAGTATTGGAATAGATACTGACAGGTACAAAATTTCTTAGGAACCAAAAATGGTCAGAAAAGAAGTAGTACTATAATTGAAGAGTCTAAAACAAACCAAAACATTTACAATGGGAAAAAGCAGTGATTTTGTATTTTTTCATATGTGTAGGAAAAGTGAGTCTGTAGTGTTTAATACATTCAGTCATGGACTTGGAGACTGAGAACTACAACCAGCTCGGGATCGTCAGGTAAGAATATGTATTCTGTCCAGTCTCATGTTGCATTTTTTCTTTATAGCTAATTCTTTTCAGCCAGTTCCCACTTAGGACACATGCTTCATAACATATAAATTATTTCTTGCTTAATGGAAGCAGCTAAGTTGCTCTGCATTGGCTGCATAAGCATTTGAGGAAAGAACCATGGTAAGTGTGACTGAAGGATTCTTCAGGGTCTGAGGACCCTGTTCAGATTACTTTGAATCCTCTGTGGCTGTGCCAAACTACTAATAGTGTTCAAACTAATTTTAAAATATCATACACGTAGAATAAATGGATCATACCACAGTTATACCTACTGTTATCATATATGCGGTGTATGTGTGCAAGCAAAATCCTCTAGTAGGGAGAAAAACTTACTGCTCTGTAGTGTGATAAGAAAACAAAACTCAAATGCACTTGATGAGGCTAAGAGACCGTAAAAGTAGAGATGTTTGCTTTGGAAGAAGTTGCTAGACAATACTGAATGGGGAAAACTAAACAAGTCTGAAGATACAGTAGAACGAAGGAGAAACTCATGAAAATCATAGTACTTGGGATACCATTCAATAAAATACAGGTTATTCTGTGCACAATACTGTGTTACAGCCTTGAACTGAACTGTTCCAGTCACAGTGTGTCATTATGTACTCATTTAAGAGAGATTTCAATAATGTGGTGATCTCATACACAGTCTGTGATTAGACATTAATCTTCTTCCGGATCCAGAGAGATTACTTTTCATGCTGTTACTTTTGTAGGCTTGGTAAGATGTAGAAAACCATTTGTATGTTTCTTCCCAAAGCTGGTGCTTAGTGGCAAGTGCACAGATGACTGTGATATATAAAGACAACAAGGTAGAAAGTCAAAATCATATAGGAGTTAAAGTTTTAGGTTCTGATCTCCAAAGAAAGAGGAACGAAGGGCGAAGAAGTTCAAAAGGATTTAAATTTAAATTGGAGATCATGAAAACATGAGATTCAAGAGAGAATGCAAACTTGTTGAGCCTCATTTAAAACTTTCAACTCTTCCTTTGACTGACTTCATACTTCTCTGCCCTGATGCTGGCAGTAAATGTGTTCTCTCTCAAAACGGAGTCAATGGTTCTTTCTGACTTTCAGAATGTCTGTGGTGTAACTAAGCATCCAGAAAATGTGTAATGGAAGACCTGTTTGCAATATCCTGCTGTGCTTCCTCTTCTGCCAGATTTTCTGATACTGAGCTGAGAAACACCTGGCTCATAGCAGTTTGCAGAGTGAGCAAGCAGAATGAATAGAAAGCAATGAGATTAGAAGATGGATGTAGAAATGTTGCTACACTATCATTTGCCACTAATTTTTACTGTGCTCACCCTTGGTACAGGTACACGGCATGGGACAGGAAGCCAGGAAGAGTCTTCTGAAAGAGCAGTCACCACTGAAAACTGAAAAGGGACAGCATGTGAGCAGAATCATTACCTAAGTTCCCCTTCTTTATTAGAAAAATTATGTCATTACTTGTTTGCTTAGGCAACTTGTATGTCACCACATCCCAAAACTACTTATGAGAGTGAGTAAGAGCCTTTACTTTATGATGTACTCCATTTTTTTAATTTATTTTTCCTTTTTGTCTCTCCACCTCCTGACTGTTGCTATGGAAGCTGCCACTTCATTTCTGTTATACTCCCTTAAACACCTGTTAATCTTCTGACCTTTCCTGCAGGCTCGATCCCTTAATCACCCCCAGTGCTGATAAAGTACAGAAAGATGACAATATTCGTTGTTGCAAGGCCTGCATGTTCCCACTCCCACGCTTTTAATTATTCTGTGCCATTATGTTGCTATGATGTTGTCACTTAACTTCCCAGAGAGATGCCGTGCTGCCGTTAGATTAGGACAGATTTAAAGAAATCTGTTTAAAGCTGATTCTAATTCCACAGAGAATTTTCTGTCCCTCAAATTTTCTTTAAAGGTAGTTTTAGCAGAATTTCCAGATATTGTCAAATAATTATGAGAAACAACTTTGTATTCATGAAAAAGGAGAAGTTTTATTTCAAGTTTTGTATTGTTCGGGCCTCAGACTAGCAGTCCTTCTTTAAATCAACTTTGACTTGTTCACCTTAATTAAAAATAATTTTTTTAATGCTCATCTGAATGTATATTTCTCTACACAGCAGCATAACTTAGCAGTATTAGCTCTAGTGCACCTGGAACCAATGTTATCTTAAAACAAATACTGAGCACTAACCTTTATTTCCTCTCTCCAATTCCAATTCTTCAGGTAGCTAGTAGTAGATAAATTTAATTTCTAGGTTACCAGTGAACCAGATGGTAACACACAGAAAATGAAGAGGAAAAACATGCCTTCCTTGCACTTATTTAATTACGTTTTCCTTCTGCTCATCAGATAAGTTATGTATAACTTGTGAGAAAAACACATTCCTGAAACATGACGTTGCTTTTGAAATGTTGGTAAAATACCTATATAAGTTTTGAGATGTAAATTCCTAACTGTTAAAACGTGCTGTCATGCAATATAACAACATTTAATACATGCAACCATGTAATTATGCATAATGACTAGTGATCATTGTGTATGCTGATAGCAGGGGTACAGGGAGGCTGTGGTATGTTCAGCTGGTCCTCTGCACCTGCAGAAAGCAGAAAAATCTTCTCACTGTGGAGGAAACAAGATAATGACAGTATGATATTAAATGCAAACATTAATTCTTTGGAGTAAAATACATGGAAGTAGTCCATCAATTGAGATGTGTTATTGTGAACTCTGAAATTGTGTTGCCTGTCATCTTAAAGAAAATAAAGGACTAGTGGAATGAAATAATTTATTGTTTACCACATACCTGTTAAATCTATTGTTTTTACTTTGGAGAATATTTATATTAGTATTTAAGCTTCTATCTGTGATAAACTCTCTACGTACATAATAACTTCTACTTGGATTCTGAAGTAAATAATGAAATGATCAGCTTGTGTGATCTAATTTTTTGAGACTAAAAAGAAAACACAGTGAAGGCACAGTGAAAACATAATTGTACTAACACTGGGATTCACAGCAGGTCCTATTAGCTCAGGCTTAGCTGTGCATTAATGTAGCTAAATGGCTTTTGGACATGAGGTGGATTGCATCCAGCCAATTTAGAGTGTGGGTGGGGCTATGGCTTTCTACATCCAACAATATAAGTACACACAAAGCTGTTTGGTTATTTATAAAAAGAAACATAATGTGCTTGGGAAAGATTACTTTCTGCAGAAATATTTGTGTTAGCATTGGGATGGTGGATGCCTGCCATCTCGGGCTGATGAAAGCCAGTAAGAACTGCTCCCAGAGATTAAACACTACTTCCCAAGAAGGAAGTACACTCTCTGTAGCTCACAAGAAACGAGCAAGTTACCAATGTTGTCTCCATTACTTTCTGTAATAAAAGCCATTGGAAAGAGAGTAGTTGGGAGCTGTTCTCTCTCACAAGATTTTTCTGTCTTGAAATTATTAATGATATTATGTCATATCCTTTGTAGACCAAGTCTTGGACCAGGATCTTAAACAAAGATGATTCCACATCTGTAATGGGCAGGTTACTTGTGGCATTTCAGAGTCCACTTCTATTGGTTTCCCAAGTAGAGTGGATGTTAAGGTATTGCAGATACAAATACGGGATGGAGCAAGCCAGAACTCAGCCCTCAAAGTTAGGCTTCATCAGCCATGACGGCTGATCTTTCCTTTTAGTGGGAAATGCATCCTAGGTACCTGGTAACAGATGAACTATTCTTCACTTTGTGTGGCTTACTGATGTGTTGAGCTTTTAAAATGGATATTGAAGCCTACATTGTAGCAGTGGCAATGGATAGCGTAGCAAGTTTTTTTTTTTTTATCTTTTTGGCATGGTTGGTATCAGCGTTGTCATCTAATTGTGGTAGCTATCTGAACTGTCTTTCATTTTAGCATAATGCAGATAAGAAGGCAATGAACTTAGAAGTAAAGGTTAAATAAACACTTTGAAAGTAAGGTCAGATAAAATTGTCTACAGACAAATACTGATATCGTTAGGTTAGATTGGTGCAGAGGATACTACTGTAGTTACTGTTTAACATTTAATCTGCTGAACTATCAACAAGTGCATCAATAAGATAATTACTTGTTAGCTGATCAGCTCTTAGAACTTTCCTGTAAATCCAGAGTTTTACAGCAGCCTGTTAATTTATGTGCGTTTAAATCAATAACTATGTGCAGAACCTCAACAATGCAATCCTTACACGTTGTCATTTTCTGTATATCTGTCACTGGTTCAGGAACATAGTAGAACACTTCCTATTGAAAAGCCAGCCCATCTGCTTCTAATAAAGAATATATTAATGATAATTGAATACAGTAGAATTAAGAGGGAGAACACAACTCATGTTCATATCATACTAGAAGAACATAACTATACAATTAGCATTAATATGCAATAATCATTTTCACAAACTGACAATTCCAATCAGCATTGTAGAACACTGCAATTAAAACATCAGTGTAATTAAGAGCAAAGCTTTCTGATAGTCCACATTACAAACAAATGACTATAAATTTGAATTATGTGCTCATCATGAAATTGGCTGTTAATCAGAACACAATCAGTGTTATAGTCGATCACAAAGAAAAGTGAGCTATCTGACTTAAGAACAAAACATTGTTCTCTAGTTAATCTATGGAAGAGGTTGTATGCATACATGCATATTTGATCCCGGAGCCCTTTTATTTTCCTGAGCTTCTGTGTTCCTCTGTCTATGATTCTGTGAGTTTTGTGTTCAGTGGAGGTAATACATGTCAAAATTGGGTAAATAGAAGTGAGAAACAAGACATACATTTACTTTAGATTCATTCAAATAATAATTATATATATATAAGTACAAATCAAGGCTACTGATATTGCCAATTTATTTCTCTTTAGAAAAGTATTATTTAAGCATGTAGATTTCTGTTAAACAGAATTATTGGTGACATCAATTTCAAGCTAATTATTGAGGGGAGCCAATAAGCAAGATATATTTTGTGTGGGCAGATAGTGATAGGACAAGGGGGAATGGCTTTAAACTAATATAAAGGAGTTTTAGATGAGATGCTGGAAGGAAATAAAGGGCCTGGAGCATGACCCTTGTGGGGGAAGATTGAATAACCTGGGTCTGTCAGCCTGGGGTAAAGAAGGCTTAGATGGGATCTGATAAATGTTTGTAAATATTTAAAGAGAGGTGGGAGAGGAAACAGATGAGGCCAGGCTCTTCTCAGAGGTGTGTAGCAGTAGGTCAAAAAGTAATGGCCTAAGACTTGAACATAGGAAGTTCCATACAAACAAGTGGAAGAACTTCTTTATGGTAAGGGTGATACAGTACTGGAACAGGTTGCCCAGAAAGGTTATGAAGTTTCCTTCTAGGGAGATATTCAAGAGCCAGAAGGATGCCTACCTGTGTTACTTATTGTAGGGTAACTACTTTAGCAGGGTTGGACTTGATGATCTCTAGAGGTCCCTTCCAGCATCTGTGATTCTGTGAAAATTCTTTACTCAGAAGGTGGTGAGGTACTGGCACAAGCTGCCTGGAAAAGCTGCTGATGTCCCAACCCTGGAGGCATTCAAGGACAGATTGGATGAGGCCCTGGGCAGCCTGATATGCTGGATTGCAACTCTGCCCATGGCAGGAGTTTGGAACTGGATGGGCTTTAATGTCACTTTCAACCCCTTCTGTGATTAATAGAATACTTTTACAAATAGCTTAATAGACATCAGCATCCCAACTGATTTTTCAGACTACAATTCCTGAAAGTAATGTAGACATATTTGCCTTACTTTTTCCTTGGCATTATCTTGAGCAGTTATGTGACGATTCATATCAGTTCCTTGATCTCGCTGAAAGCTTCCCAGCAACAGGTTTTCACCTCAGAAATAACTGCAGCTAAAACAAAGTAGTATGGCATGAAAGGAAAAGGGAGAAAGGGTTTTAGAGCAGGTTCAGCAAATCTTGAAAGTCATTTGAGGGTGGTCATTATTATGATTTCTTACTTGTACCAATGCCTCAGAAATCTCCTAAGGAGGTTTGATAGGTGCAATAGGCTTTCAATAGAAGTAAACACCAGGTAGTTTCTCTGAGAGATTTCATTTATGTTCATAGCAGAGGAAAATAAGGCTCACTGTTCCAAATGCTACTATATTATAAACGCATCATAGAATCGACTCATAAAATGGTTTGGATTGAAAGGGAACCTTAAAATCACCTAGCTCCAACACCTCCCTCTAGCAGGGGCACCTCCCACTAGACCGGGTTGCTCAAATCCCCATCCAGCCTGGCCTTGAACTCTTCCAGGGAGGGGAAATATATAATATAAAACATTACTGATATAGTAGTTATCATGATGACAAATTTTGGCTGCTTGTCTGTAATGAATAATGAATGAGTAAATAAAAATCTAGAAAATAGGTCTCAGTTTCAGAGTATATTAGTGTTTTCAGCTATTTATCAATCAGTAATATTAATGTTGTTAAAACAGTGATAATCTAAATAAATAAATGAGATGCACTTTATAAGAAAACATATATCCATTAGATCTACTTTCTACAGTTACATTTACATCTTTTTCTCAAGTCTGAAATTGAAGAAAAATCTTAAGGCTGAGAATAATTGACTTTAGTTTAATGCAGTTGTTGTCTGGATGATGGAAGTGTTAGAGGAAAACAGTCTGAAACAATAAGTTGTAAGGAGAATAATCAATGGTTCGAAAAGTGTCTGCTGGTCAGTAATCATCAAAATACCATGGGACTTATACTGACCACATTCAACAGTGCTATGAATGATGACACAGAGTATACCCACAGCAAATCTACCTCTTAAGAATGGCAGACCAGAGAGAATTGAATAAATCCCAGAGCTGAATGTACAGAAATCTTGTAAACTTCCATGTGGAAAAGTGGAAGGTTTTGTCTTGTGAACAGAATTACTCTGTATGGATTGGGCTAAGAGGTAGGGAAGAAAGAAGGGAAAGGCTGGAAATAATTTCTTTTGTAACCTATATTCTCTCTTCTACACTCCTGCCAGTAATTTTTTATTCTTGTCTGAAATAGAGGAAATAAACCCCCTCCCTACTCTTACTCCATCTGCATACTTTGTTCTAAATCATGAGCTTTCTGTGGAGACTGTATTTGATGTATATCAAACACAGTGTATGTGAGGTTTAACAGACAATCATGAATTACAGAAATACATGCTATGACAAGACATGGATGTAAGTCATTAGCAATATAATAGCAATATATAATAATAATATATATTGGCAATATATTCCAATTATCTCTCCTCATATATATATATATTCTTTTAGTTTAATTGTAGAAAACACTGGCAGTTCTCTCCTTATTAGTTGTGTAATTTCAGGGCAATAAAAAGAAGCAAAACAAGAACATATGGAATACGGACTTTCAAAAAGAAACAGTTGGCAAAACCATGCCTCAGATTACTGTCAGAATATCAGCCTTTCGGCAAGCTTGGAATAGAACAGATGGGAAAAATCAAAACTGGTAGTAGTTTTCCACATTTAACACAGGAGAGAAAGTTAACTGTCTAATTTATGCTTGGAATATGATAATCTTTTCTTTAATGGTTTTTATGGTCATAGTCATTGTGTTCTCTGTATTACTGTATTAGGGTCAGGAAGTCACTATTGTGCATACATATGTTCTGAGACCTGTGATCTTCACCATGAAGACAGGGAAAAGATGTGAGGTCTATCTGTCAGTGGAACACTGGCTCCATTTCATTTACACTGCATGAAATGAACGCAGTGAGATGAATGGGTTGAGTGGGAATGGATTGAATGGCTGCACCTTGCTCAAGGACATGTTTCCACAGGGTGCCCAACTGTAATGAGCTTCATTTTAACAATATGAGTAATCCCTTTGATTTCAGTAGGATTTTTTCTTAGGACTTCAGTGGGAATTTCCA